CAATTTCTTGAAAACTAAGTCCCATTGCTCAGTGGGATTTGACTTCCTGGGAAAGGACCACAGGATTGCAGTAAACTCAGTTTATTTCTACAGATAAGATTACTTCATTTCAAGAATCAGGTTTTTGGTTCTCTTCTGTCAATTCAAGAGGCAGCCTGAGCCACAAACTCTGTTTCAGCCCTCCCATCTCTACCATCTACAGTACAGAGTAACACTGCCCTGCTTTATAGGCTTGTTGTCAGGATTAGTGCTGCTCTGCCAATTTCTACCCTTTCAGATGTTTCTCCTGTCATGAGAATGGCTGACGGTCAGATTCCAAAAGATCTGTATGGAGAATTAGTGCAGGGAAAGGGCCCCAGAGGGAGACCACAGCTGTGATACAAGGAGATCTGTAAGCGGGATCTGAAGGCCTTAGGAATGGACCTCAACAGATGGGAAACCTTGATATTTGAGTGCTCAGCCTGGAGGCAGGCAGTGCAGCATGGCCTCTCCCAGTTTGAAGAGATACTTGTACAGCAGACCGAGGCAAAGAGGCAGTCCCGAAACCAGCAAAATCAGGGAGCTGGACAGGGGACAGACTGTATTTGTCTTCAATGTGGAAGGGATTGTCACTCTCGTATTGGCCTTCTCAGCCACACTAGATGGTGTTCCAAGACCTCTATTCAGAACACGTTACCATAGTCTCTCAAGACTGAAGGATGCCTACCTAGAGATGTTTCTGGACTGCAAATTCCTTCATTTCTCACTATTGGCTATGCTGGGTAATGTTGATGGAAACTGCAATACAATAACATCTGGAGGCTTACAAGCTGGGTTGTTGAAATAATATATACAGTACTTTTAACATCCTAAAAGCTATAAATGCTAATATTATTGTTATCATTTCAAAATGGAAAAGGAATTTCTTCCTCTTAATGATAAGAATTAAATTTTTAAAAAACTTTCTTTTACCAAGTACTTATCTCTGGAATATTAAAATTTTAGCAGTTCCATATTGGTAAAGAGGCATTGAGCTTGTATGTTTTCACACCAGAATATACAAATTCTTCCTTCCCTGGCCATGCCCCATGGCAAACAGATTTTGCAACTGGCAAATTTGAAAAGCAGTTTGAGATAGCAGGGTAAATCCCACTAGACATGACAAGGTTTGGAGGTACATTTTAGCTCATTCTTTCAAATCTCTGTAACAGGAACTAACTGTTCAAAAGAAGAGAGATTCCTGCCCCCCCATTGCATAACAATATAGGCAGGAATCAGAACTCTCAAAAAGATTTCTCATGTTTCGTACTTCCTCTTCTACTGTTTGTGGTGTTATTTTTTTAGTCACAAGTTCTGAGTCAGATTTTTATGCCTTACTGGATACAGTATAAGCAGAGGTGTGGTGTTTTTTTTTTCCATTTTGTTTATACTCATCTGATATTTTGTCATAAAACAAAGGGGTGGGTAACATAAAATGGGTGGAGAATCCTTAAGTGTTAAGATGTCATTGCTTTGTCTGGGGCTTTAAGGTAATTATCTGAGAGATTTTAAAAGGCTTGCATTTTTTTAAAAACAAATCTTACCCAAAAAACAGATATAGTGTTAGGTCAAGAAAGTGGAACATTTTTAATACTTTCCCCAAATGCAGTCTTAAAAGAGGATAGAAATTGTCAGGGTTTCTTTTTATCTCCATGTCAGTTAATATTCCCATGTTCTTGCTGTTTTGTGTTGTCAAGTTGCCTCCGACCCAGGGGGATCATATGAATAAACGGTCTCCAAAAATGTCCTGTCCTCAACCCCTGCTCAGCTCTTGTTAAGTCAAGACTGTGGTTTCCTTTATGCACTCAATCCATCCCTTATTTGGTCTTCCTTATTTGGTTGCCTTCCACCTTTCCCAGCGCTAATGTCTTTTCCAGAGAATCTTGCCTTCGCCTGATGTGCCCAAAGTAGGACGATCTTGGTTTCATCATGTTTGCCTCCAGGGATAGATTTATTTGCTCCGGGATGCACTTGTTTGTCTTTCTGGCAGTCCAGGGTATCTACAAAACTCCAGCACCATTTTTCAAATGAATCATTACCCCCCTCACCCCCGTCAGCCTTCTTTATTGTCCAGCTTTCACACCTGTACATGGTGATTGGAAATACAAGAGTGTGGATGATGTTGGTTTTAGTCTCCATCGACACATCCTTACACTTGATGATCTTTTCTAATTCCTTCATCGCTACCCTTCCAAGTCTCAGTCACCTTTTGATTTCTTGACTGCAGTGTCCCTTATTCTCATAGTTCCAGCTATATTATCACCAAGACGCCATCTTATTCTGCCTTGTTACTCTTTTCCTTCCTATTCTTTGGCAACTATCCCATGCAACTTTTTGTGTGTGTTCTACTAATAATAATAATTACATGCTGCCAAGCTCATTCTGCCCTACGGCAACCTTTTCCAGTTTTCTACGTAAAAAGTTCTCAGAGGTTGTTTGTCATTTCCTTCTTTTGGAGGTACCCTAGGAGTGAACAGCTTGCCCAAAGCTATACAGGCTGGCTCTTCTCCTGGGAGACTGAGTAGGGAATTGCACTCCCAATGTCTGGCTCTGCAACCAGATGTGTAACTCAGGGTGTGACTATACTGGCAAGCCAAATTGTCTTGTTTCATAGTCTCTTTTGCAACTGCAGTTTGGATGAGCACAAAAAGACCCCAGGGTTGTTTTGAAGGCAGTGTCCACACTGGCCCCCTCAACCTCATGTGGTTCAATTCATGTCCACAGCCCCATTCCTTTGATACTGCCTTCCTGTTGATTCCTCTCCTTTTATGGTCTGCCATCAGGCTGCTGGGACTGTTTAAAGGACTGCATGATGGTAGGGGAAAAACGAGAGTCTCCCAACATTTTCCATACACATACTTACAAACACACACACATTGCATGAAAATATTGTAGTTTGCTGGAGTTCATCAGATTTTTTTCAATTTTTATTTTTTTAAAGTTTTTTTTACTCTGTACAGAGGTGGTCTAGTACTAAAATAATGTAACAAGGCAGTGATAAGGTGATGTAGTACTAGATTCAATAAAAGGAACAAAAATACATTGGGGTGACTACAGAGAAAGATTGCAGGGGTTGGTATTCCCACTGTTCCAAAACATCACACTCAACTTACTATGTCACCAGAAAATCACTCAAAATCACATCCTCTGGTCCTTTTGAGAATGAAACAAATGATCACATATGGAAAAACACCATTCGAATTGTTGCAGTTAGAAAAAAGTTGAAGCCCGCAGTAGCAGAAGGAAACCTGTGGATTGGAAATTAAATAATGATTCCCATTGACCCTTACATTGTGTGATAATTGAATAATACCATATTTTTCCATGTATAAAATGCCCCCATGTATAAGATGCCCCCACTGTTCTAATCCAAAATTAAGAAATCTAAGTGGGGCTTAGCAAGTGTAGGGGGAAAGGGATAAAAGCGCTGCAGAATCTCTTTGGTCCCTGCTTTTCCCTCCACTTGTTTTTGTTCTCTCCTCAGCTTACTTCCGTGTATAAGACGACCCTCAATTTTTAGTCTAAAGATTTTAGACAAAAGTATTGTCTTATACACGGAAAAATACAGTACTTCAAATTGAGCCAAGCCAGCAAATGTTGAAGTATTTTCCAATGCAGTTGCAGTTTCACTGGTTTCTCCAGGTCAGTCAAGAAATCAATAGGAATGTTATTTTGAAGAGGAGAGACAAAAAACATATCGGAAGTGCTCAGAATCCCCATCCTCCGGCTCCATAGCCAGATACACAACTCACATGGCTATGCAGACAGTTATTCCTGAATAAATATGTGTTAGTACTACTGTAACTGTTTCACTGTCTTGTCCTCTTCACAATAAGGATACTGTAGCTAAAAATGTGTCCAGTGAGAAGGTAAACATGTGAGGTAGACGTTCTCAGTGCAGAAAAGGAAGCAGTAATTACTAGGGGTTAATTCCCAAGTAAAAAAAGCATAACTTTGCATATTCATTGTGTCACTGATATTGCCAACTTCTTTTTAGTGTGGCCCCTGCTCCACTTCTTTTAATCTTAACCTTAAACGTCTTATACAGCTTGGAGGACCTTCTACCCATTTCCACAAGAATGTACCGCTACAGTCACAGGTTTCTCCAGAAATTAGATGAGTAATGACTGGAGAAAAGGTTTTAGAATGCTACCTGATAAATGCTCTCTGTAGCTTGCCAGACACTGAATTGCTGCACCTTTATTTTTGTATATGTATGTTATCACTTTTGTTCTGAAATCATTGCAGTGCATATATAAACTACCTGGGAATTTTTGGCCTCATTTTTTTAAATAAAAGGACAGCATTAAATGCTTGAAACAGGCAATCTGATCACAATGCAACATAAAATAAAATTTGCAATAATTTTTCCCCAAAATACTTACACATCCAGGGAAAACATCACTCACTAAATTGATGTTTCAGTTTAAAGGCATGAGAGTAGGGCCAGGAAAAAGCTAGCAACTTCATATGCAAAGCTGATCAGGAAGATGTGATTATTATCAACCATTTGGATTTTAGACAATCTTTCTAACAGTAAGAACTGAGGATGTCGGCAAACCGACACACATGAACACACCACTCAGTAAACCTGTAGCAGAAAGGTAAGATACACAATACTCAGAACAGTTGTACAAATCTCCCTTTGCCCCTGAACCATGTGCATCTCCACAAGTTCTATGCTTATAATTTTAAAAAAAACAAAATTGTCTACCTTGCTAAAACAGGAGTTTTAAAACTGGCCTTCAGCCAGCAAAGGCTCACTGAACTGGATAAAATTTCAGTTCAGATTTAAGGGAAGTTGTTGTGAGTAAAAAATCTGGTTTGGTGAGTTTTGAGAGCTGGGATCAGCAGAGAGGCAACATTGCTACTGTGAGCAAAGAGAGTTGTGTGGGGGTAGGTGGGAGGGAGAGACAAGCAGAACTGAGATAGACAACATTTCCCTCAGAGTTAACAGTTTCAGCATGAGACCCTCCCTGTTCAGAAGGCAGAAAACTCCATTCTGGAAGCGGAATAGCTTAACTTTAATGCTTTATGTCTAGTCAGGAATTTAAGTCTCACAGATTGCCTCCTGATTAGCACTCATTTTAGCACTTTTGGAATGTGTGGCTTAGGCCAATGAGGAGCAAGGATTTTTGCTCAGCTGGTTCCTCTAATTGCAAGTTCCTCTCTGGGCATATTTTCCAGTCTTCAGTACACTCCCAAAGGCCAATCCTGAAACGTGGGGGTTAAGGCGAAAAAGATCCGTTGTAGCTGGTGGCATTGTAAGGAGTTGCTCAACACTCTTAAGCAGGCCAGTTGAAAAAAAATAGTAAGAAGATGCATTAGCTCGCTGGCCAGAAACTCTTCCTTATTCCTGTGAATGCTGCTAAACTGATTTGACACACGCTAGCCAGGTAGGTAAACTTTGCTGCTGTTGTGCCTTGATCTCCACAGTTCTCTTTCCGTTGAAAATCTACCTTTATTCCGACTGAAAGCTGCTTTTGTCTTATTTTAGCAAGTTCTCCTGAGTTAGGTGCGTGCCTGGTATTTTAAAAGTGGAGCCAACTGACTTGTTTAATTCCAAGTTTTAATATTACCAAAGTAAATGACATTTTGCCTCTTCCTCGTGAGTAGGGAAGAATATGTATCCTATTAAAATTAGTACTCCAATGTTAATTCATTCATCTGGGGGAAAGATGATAGAACGCCTGTTGCATTAACATTATAACAAACATCTTCTCCACTGTACCAAAATATTTAACTGACTTTGTGCTACATAGTGCTTAAGATGTGTCTAACTTTAAAATCCTATACATAAATACACCAGTAAGTTGTTTATGTTTGATCATTGATAGTAGTTCAGAACTTTTATTTCCTGCATAACTAGCAGTGAGGAAAGGGTACTTTTCTGTATTTATTCTGACCCAGTACAGCATATGTTCATTGAGAAGAAAATTGCACTGAGGAGTGGGGACATAGTTAGTAGTAAGTGGCAAGAGTTACCTATCTTCAGTATTTTTTTAATGAATGGTTTAATTGTGATTGCTGGTACTGATGTGTTGACTGGATGTAACTATGTGTGCAACCTTGTGCATGCAAGGCAGAAATGTTATGCATGCTTACAACCAAGAAAATATGCATACGATAGTGTTCTCAAATCCGATTGATACCAATAGGATTTAAACAGCCTTTAGTAGAAGTATAACTTCTGTTTCTTTCAAGTGTACGGGTAGAATCAACCTGTCTTTTGCTCAAGAAAGAGGTTCTTGGGAAAGGCTAATAGAATGATGAAAAAAAACTAAAAATTAACATTTTTACGTCTACTGTAAGTATCTTTATTTTTGCTATTTATTTCTTTATGCTGTTTATTCTTTTGGAGGTCATTTAAGAGGCACAGATAGACCTTTGTGAAGAAGTTGGCACTTAAAAGTGTTTTGACTTTAACAGAAATGTCTCTATGGCCCTTTGCACTCCTCCCGCCCCAGTTATCTTGGGCAGTTGCACATCTTGTGCTCTAAAAGAAGAAGCAGCTTGATGCTGAGCTCACTTGATTTTAAGGGGAAGCAAAACTATTCGAACTGTCACAATAAATATGCTGCACACTGCTATGTGTTACAACTTTCCAGACTTTCTGTAATCCTTCCCTCCCTTCACTATGTGTACCAAGGCTCCAGGTGCCTCAACACAAAGGTGAAAGGTCATTTATGAACACGACAGACATTGATATAAAACTGGAAAGCTGAATATAATATACAGTACACTGTGAAAAAAGGAAAACGAGATAACAGCAGAAATATGTTGTGTAATGGATCTTTCTCCTTTTTTCTTTTGCCCAATAGAGCTTTCCAGGCAAAATCAAAATGCTTGTCTAAATCTAAGTAAAAGAGGATTCCCCCCCCATCTCTACCCCAATTTAGTCTCAGTAGCTAAAAGTTTACAGAAGTATATCCCTTACAGTCAAAACTACAAGCCATCTGTAGAGAATTTTAGCTTAAACACACATCCTAGTTTCACTTCTAAAACCCAGTTTTTCTGGTTTAAATGATTGATTGATTTGGACTGGGTGCCTGACCAAAAAGAACTGGAACCTGATAAATATCTGTTTGTGAAACCGGGGGTGTGTCAGATTTGTTGCCACGATGACTTTGGAATGGTGTGTAAGTGGGTTCCTTTTACACCAAGCGGAGCTCAGGCATTATGATTGTGGATGCATAGCGATGGGCTGGCTGTATAATGAACCTGTTTAAAAAGAACTTTGTGATCTTCTGGGGGTAAACCTAGTCCTTGAGAATCAACTACTCTCCTTCAGTGCCACTTCAGAGCTGAGATTTGAAAAACTGTATGCATGACGCTTGAAGAACAACATGGAGAGATTCCTGACTTCTGTGTAAAAAAGCAAGGTTGTCTTCAGTGTTTTGTGGACTCCCCTTTTGCAAATTGAAAGTTGCTTCAGCTTTCCACTTGCTTTTTGCTAAAACTATTTTTTCATAACATGCTCCTTGATGGATATCTGACAGATAAGCATATGGCACATTAATTTCATATAGAGATCAATGTTAAAAAAAAGGACTTTTACTATTGCATGCTTATATCTTTCCATATGCCGCTGATGTGTCAATAAATCAATACCTAATACTCTCTCCCGGATAATAACGGTGACAGTAGGTGCACCAAAGATCTTGCTTTGACTATGACCAGAGTATCATAAACAGCTGTCCTGTAGTTGATGAAAGAGTTGCAGAGATTTGTATTCATAAGTGTTACTTTTCCTGCCTCAGATTGTTTCCTTTCCTATCTCTAATTATATACAGTATAACTATTTTATATTACAAAACCATTAATCAGTTCTTGCTTTTCATAAACTGTGTGATCTAATGACACTAACAATGCAATGTTATATGCACTATCCCTCCATGGGAATGCATCACACTGAACTTAGTTGGCATTACTCCTGAGTAAATATATATATATATATATATACAGTTGCTACTGCAGTGTTGATCTATGATACATAATTTGAATAAAATTATTCATTTGTTTCCCCCCCAGGTGTGTTGTACTGTAATTGGGTTTTAAAAAATACATTAGTTTGTATCTGTTTAGTGGAATACTTGTACAGTATTTTTTCCACATAGCACATGGAAGCAATGAGAGTCATGCTAAGAATATTCTCTCTCTTTTTCCCTTAATGACATGGTTCTGTGTACACCTAGTTCTGTCAAGACTGGACTCATCTTCTCAATATTGTCAAGACAAAGTTGGCTTTGTGTAGTTAGAATATAAATGGTTTTGATATCACAGTATATTCAGTTGAGTACAACAGGTACCCAGTGTTCAAAATCTGTTGCTTAGCATAGTAAATCACACTAGAGTAAGTCCATTGACTCAACTGGGATTTGGTGAGTTTACTTCTCAATCAGTTCCATTGATTCAAATGGGCCTACTCTGACTGCTAAAGTTAGTTGCAGTTAGAGTAGGACCATTTGAATCAATTGAACTTATGGAGCAGTTGATTCACTAAATACCTATTGATTCAATAGGCTTATTCTAGAATGATTTTTCTGTGTTAAGCAACAAGATTTTGGACATTGACCACAAAGACAACAGACATACTGGCATTTGGAAGTAGTTTTTGTTGCATACATGTTCTCCTTGGTAAAACAATTTTTGTGTGTTTTCTGGGGTAATGCCTCATTCAGTTTTGTTGACAATAATTGATAGTAGCTTCCTGTATTAATGTAACATTATTTAGGAATGCTATTTAATAGTGCATTTTAACTGATAGATTTTGAATAGATCACTGGCCAGTTTTCAATAAATGACCAAATAATTACAAAATTTTTTGGATTTGATCTAGCAAAACCACCAATAATACTGAAATCAATCCACTCATGAGGTAAAGAAGTTTCTTTTTTTCCCTGCAAATATTTTCGCAGTGTAGTAGCTGTGTATCTAGTTACTTTCTGTTTGAAATGTTTTCGTACTGATCTATGACTGAAAACAAAAAATAAGGTAGTTCTCTTAATGATCCAGGTTTACCTGCTTCTCATCTTTTGGTCTTTCCCCTTACTCTAGGGACCTGAATGGAAGAGGGCATGTTGTATTCAATGTGGATCTTTACCATTTGATGTTAGCTAAATCAGTCGCACATTACAGTTGTTCTGCTTTTGCTGGAGGGTGAATAAAACTGAGAAATTGTTCCAGAGTGCCCTGTTCTCAAATCACAGTGATAAAGGAAGTGTACTGTAGCCATTCATAATCATGAATAGAAAATAACAGTTGAAAAATATATGCTTTGTCTACTTGGTGGTATTTTTTTTTTTAAAAAAAAGACAAGTCATAAAACCTAAAACAATACGGTAACATAGAATTCCAATCCTGTAAAATTCAATTAAAAGGGAGTATCCAAAAATTAGATAGCACACAGTATTGTAGTGGTGAACATGGAAGTCCAGAAACTCATCATGACACTTACTAGAGATACCTTCCCCCACCCCCACCCCAAGTAATGAGAGTAAGATTGGTCCATATCATAAAATGAGGACATGCCTTTTGGAAAGTTAATATATCTTAACTGCACCTAGAAGATCAGGCTATTCTGAAATGCTTTACATCAGTGGTCCCAAACCTTGGGCCTCCAGATGTTCCTGGACTACAACTCCCAGAAGCCTTCACCATCACCTCTGCTGGCCAGGATTTCTGGGAGTTGAAGTCCAAGAACATCTGGAGGCCCAAGGTTGGGGGCCACTGCTTTACATTACAGCAGGAATGGCTTGCAACATGTACCATTTCTGAGGAAATCCCTTTATCTCCTAGCTACTATGGGACAGCAGGTGAAACTCAGACAGAACAGGGAAGCTGTGGAGGGGCCTATTAAATAACATCCTTGCCCCTCACGAAGACCTAGGGCTTCAACCTTATAAGACTGTCTCTGCTATACCACTGGTAACCAAAACTGTATTCACCTTCAAAGCAAGATATTCAGTTTTATTAAAAGATTCATATTTCAGTGTAGGTCATAAAGCTGTAAGGAAGTACTGTACTGTCCCTTCAGGTGTTGACAAGGTTGGGGACCACTGCTTTACATTACAGCAGGGATGGCTTGCAACATGTACCATATAAATCAAGAACATATCGGATTGCATGAGATTTCACACGACTGATAGATGTTAATGCACGATTGAAAAATATGTATGGATAAAAGTTCCCTCACGAAGACCTAGGGCTTCAACCTTATAAGACTGTCTCTGCTATACCACTGGTAACCAAAACTGTATTCACCTTCAAAGCAAGATATTCAGTTTTATTAAAAGATTCATATTTCAGGTCATGTCATAAAGCTGTAAGGAAGTACTGTACTGTCCCTTCAGGTGTTGAATTTTTTTAAAAAAATTGTGTGTGTGTGTGTGTGTAT